CCCTGTGACGCTATGTCACGGCATGTCACTGGTCATCACACTTACCAAGGATTGTGCAACACCATTACTAGCAACAAAGTGGTGAGCACTGGCAAGAACACTTGCTCCGATCATGTTGAAATGCCGAAGGTGGAGAGATTCAGGATGAGGGAAGGAAGGAAAGGAGAGTGCCCAGAGGCCAAGAGACCCCCATCCCACGAGGTGAACGGGTGTTTTGGTCTATTTTTATATACCTTCAGCACGTGCCTGCTTGGGCTATTCTCCTCATCTCGTTCCTCAGTATCCAGAGATGGCGGTTCAAATGTTCATCCCTTTCGGTGAGTGGGCTCGACTTTTTTGCCTGGCTCTGTATGGCACTTACAAAGTTCACGACAAGGGGATGAAATCTGCTGGCGCCGAAGGCGCCTAGTGCTAAGTACTTTACAGCACCCCGCATCTTCCCTGAGTTCGTACACCAACGAACATCTTTCAAGAATTTTCTGGAGATGAAGGTGCGGGATGTGCATGCTGGATGCAGGAGCCTCGGTTGACAGTCTTTCTGGTAGCAGTTCACGGCATTTTTGGCTCCGCGTGTCAAGTGTCGAATTGCACGGTGGATCAGCTTGGGCCCCTTGGTTCGCCTGACAATGAATGTCAAGTGAGTTCATATGCTTCTCTATAACGGGGGTATCCAACGACTGTTCATGCAGATGACCCTACATATTTGCTCCTTTTCCAAGTCGGAGCGTGTTCTCTTGCACACCGACATTCGCCCACCTTCCGAGATGAAGTTGGATGAAAGATGGGTGCAAACTCTCGTCTTGTTCGATGTCCACGAGCAGATATCGTGGACAACGAATCTTCGACGAGGGTGAATGTCGGGCCGAATGCATCTGCAAACCCGCTTGCTTTCTCAGGTGTCCTTTCGTCGACTTTCACCAGCTCCGAATGCGTGCTTTAAGCCTCCTCTCAATGATGTGAGAGCATGTCCGCCTCTCGCGTCGTCGTCGTCCTCCTAGAGAGGTTTCTCTACTGTTGTGGAGAAGACAATATATTCTAGCTAGCATCGCATCAGCAACCGACCTCTAGACGGCGAAGAGCAGTCCAGCAGAGTGGAAGAACAGGCTGAGGTTGGACCAGCCCAGTGCGATGGAGCAGGTTCATTCCGTGGGGTGGGGTTAACTCCTTGGTGGTCACTGTCATGGAAATGCATTGTTCCGATCGAAAACACGAGATATGCGTTGAGGGAGAGTGTTCGTTGAGTTGGGCGTGATGGGGCAGTGGCGACGTAGGCTAAAGAGCCGCCAAAGATGGAGTCGGCAGCATGAGGCGTTGCCTTCTTTGAACGTTCTTGTCTGAGGATGTCAGTTCCACCAGTCAGGTGGAAATACAATGCGACACTCACAAATACTTCCCGTGATACGAGTTTTCGCCAAAAATTTCTTGATCTCAACCACCACAAGTTCGTCGACCTCATTGCCTTTTGTACTGTTCATGCAGTCGTTTGCTGCTGCCGTCATGACGCTCTGAGTTGAAGCACTCCTCGAATGAAGGTACGTCCGGCTTTAACTTTATCCGTCATGTCTTGTTCACTTCACTGAGATCTTTCGAATAAAGGCTGCAGCCTCTCCATGGCAATTCCTACTCGGTGTTTCCGAAACACTCTTGCTTCTTGCAAACTCATAATAACTGTTACTACCATACCGACGCACTGCTGTAGAACTCCGGCTTCCTGGATCCCATGATCTGGTCCAACTGCGCGAACGACACCACCCAGCAACATCACGCCTCACCAACCTCACACCTCACCTTACATGACTTGCGGTATACCGTAACCACGGGAAGGCTGGTGACCTACTTCTAGATTCCCACTCGATCGGAGAGGCTCCGAGTTTGAAGAACACTCAAAGTGGGTTAAAGAACTCGAGAAAGAAATGGAAATGCATTCCCGTCAAGTTGGTGGTCTCAACTTGTCCATTTCGGCACTTGTTTTAAATTCATGGCCCATTACTCTTCTTCGGTCTATCGTCTCTCGTGTGTTGGGTAACAGGAAGTCCTTGCCCTCCCTCCTCGTCTAACCTCCAGCCCAAATTCTTCCCTACTACCCCCTCCCCTCCTCCTTAAGCCCTCCCCCAGAGGAGACCCCAACGCGACTTGGAAACCCGACGCAATCTATACCTCTCAACAGGTGGATGGGGAAGTTACCTCGTCCTAGTTGGCAATGGCGTGTGCCCTGTTGTGTTGAAGGTGCTTGTGAGGAGGTTGACTGGGGCTTGGATGTGGAGTTCGTTGGCAAGGAGGAGCAGGAGGTAGTGTTGACCTTGAGAATGGTTGATTTTGGGCCTCGGTGGGAGGTACTTTTTCCACGTTTATGACTTTTATGACTTTTTTTATGATGTCTTTTTGACTGACGCTGACGAGGAATTGAACGCACCCGTATGCATTCATATAATTACTCATACCTTATGTATCGGTTCACTTGAATCTCTTTTGAAAGCTTTGACAATCGGCAATTGCATGTCTGCTTCGTTTTTCATGATTTGTTCTTCGTTTACATATTGACAGATCTACGGTACCAGTACATACATCGACCCCTTCTGAGCCTAAGTCCTGACAGACATAATCAAATCAACACAACCTGGCAAAGGGTGGATATCAAATACTCTGACAGGGGCCGGAGATCACTCACCCTCTGGCACAACTGCAAAAGAAGATCAACAACCACCCAGCAACCCAAAGGCAAATTGGAGACTCACAGCCTTTTTCATCCTTGGATTAATCACCATGTATCCTAGACAAAACTCTGTTCAAACAAAATGTCAACATCCTGGTGACGATGCAGAGAAGGAAAGAAATACGGTTGGTAGAGGGGCTCCTCACAGAGACGATAACTCCATCCGTGTGAATAATCTCATCTTTGTTGATTGATAGCCAGGTGGGTTTGTTCTGTTTGTAGCCTTCGGTGGAATACTATAGGATGAGAATTGGATTATCTCGGAAACTATTACTCACTGCAAGTAAAAAGTAACCGAGCGCGCTTCGTGAATGCTGCGATTGCAGCTACGGGATTGCCTTGATTGCTACCTGGATAAGTGTCACCTTGGAAGGATATAACATCGGTGTCGCCCATGGCAGCGTCACTATCCACGTCTTGGAAGAGTTCCATATAGAGTGCATTGACCAGGCCTTCAAATTTCGCGATGCATGCTTTCAAAGACCCAGCGTTGTGAGGGGGAGCGACGGAGAGGCTGTTAATGCGCCCTAACGAGCTGTCAGTTTCGTCAAAGGACGTCTTTGCCTTTTCATCTCCCTCTGATGAATAGACACGATAGTACACTGCAAATTCACTGGCAATAAGTGCACTATTTCGGTGGGAGACGTCGACAAGACTTACCGTAGTGGATATCAGTATCATCAGAGCGTTCCGGCAGCTTGTCCGACTGTGTGATCTCCTCGATCCTCTTCTCCGACTCGACAACCAACGCGATCGGATCTTGTTCGGACAGCCCTGGCCCAGAAGGAGCGTGGAAAGAGAGGCGGGCAGAGTCTTCTTTGGGTGCTGGGCTTGAGAGCGGTGTGAAGACAAGCGCCTTGTCGGGCTCTGAGAGGCCCTCAAGTTTGCACAGACACCGCTTGAGAGACGCCACTGTACGAGGAGGGGTAACAGATTTTGACGGAATGCGGCCAATGAAGCGGTCGTTGTGGTAGAGGGGTTGAGTTGATTCAAATGCACCAAGTTTGGTGTATAGATGGTAATATACTGCACGCAGCACAAGTAAATGAGGCAATTTAAGCCAGCAGTAGAGTTTTCGGGATAAGGCGCACCATAGCTAGGACCCGTTGACTTTCCTACCGTTGCTGCTGAATCTGTACCCCCTTTGCCGTCTAAACAGGGAGTGGTCCTGGACGTACGATCATGATCACTGGGTGAAGTAGACATATCTGTTTCCAACCAGAGCCTATTGGAATATTAGCAAGATGGACGATTGAAGGAAAGAGTTATTGGACGCGCCTTCAGCGCTGCAGCGCTCAGCATGCCCACGAGGCAGTGCATCAACCGTCATTTCGCTGCCAGAGTGGCACGTAGAGTGTTCTCAAGTTGAACGAACAGCTCCGCCTTCCCTCCAATGTGCACTGGCCTTTCAAACTCTCAACTTCCCCAGTGCCTGGAAGGTACGAAGAGCGACGGAGCGCGAGTTTATGAGAAGCCAGAATATATGGGAAGAAAAGTGAGGTGGACAAGAAGTGGAAGTCGTGGAGGTTGACAGCACTGGCACAGTGTGCAACGGCGACATCCAGTCAATATTCAAGCGGCCGACTTCTACCTCCCGAACATACCGCCTGAAGAGGTCCACGGCGAAAAGGTCCGTCATGACGGCGAAGTTTCAACTGCCATCATGATGGCTTCGTCCAAATTTCTCCTTATCCAATCCCTCGAAACTCTCCTCGATCTTACCATATGTGCGTATCTTACATCATGCTCGGACTCTTAGATCATCTCACCTCTCACGAATGTTTAGGCATGGGATAAGACTCTGCTCAACGATGAAAAGCTCGCCATTTGGTTGCGCTGTAACGCTACCAAGCACTCCGATAATTCAGCAGGTCGCGGGATGGGACAGCGTATACCACAATTTCGGCGTTCGACAACCGGCGGGTCTTCTTGTTGTGCGGGGATTGCCTGATTCTACTGTTCGCGGAGCCTCAGGGAGTGGCTCTGTAAGAAGAGCTAAACTCAGTACTGTCGTGCCCGATATTTGGCTTCAACGTATCGTTGGGGAAGGGCGGTAAAGACCGGCCGTTCGAAGAGCACATTGGTTCCTTCTTGAACTTGAAAATCACGGTGTGTTTCATGCCAACCAAGTCTTGTTTATTGTCGTCACCTTATCGTCGCCATTTCAGACGAAGCCTGGGATAAACTTGCAAGACCCAGACTGATCAAAAGTGGCTTCGCGAGTGGGTTCCCCCTTCGCACAATACTCCTACCATCAAAGCCGTTGGCCAGTACAACAGGCTTCTTAGCCTTCAGCCAAATCAGCTAAAGGGGTGTTTCTCCTCAATGACAACACAGTGGTTCCGACTGGGTTTCAACCTTGCTTGACCACCAGCCAGGCCGGGGTGTCCTGTGCTTCGTATGCTAGGCTGACTCAACATGTATACTCAAAGTTTCTGCTCCGTTGATGAATCATTGATTTGAAAACAACCGGCCCGCCGTCAGGACGTCCTTCGGGAATTTTTCTTGTTTTCCATACCGATGGTGTCCAGAAAAGAAGTCTAATCTCAACATCGCTTCACCGTCAGCGGAAGAGTCACTCATCTCTACTTTCTTCTATGCTAGGTTCGTCACGCATGTTCTATAAGGCTCTGTCGACCGTCACCAAGGTCGATATATTCTTTATTACGATGATCATGCCTAGTCCCAATCGTTAGCTAGGCCTAGGGGATCCTGCGCTCTATTGCCTCCTGGGGACTCGCATCGAATGCTAGCCTATGCCAGCTCTTTCTCCTTCGGTTTTCAAACTCTAAAGATTTGCTAAAGATCTTGTTCATGTCATTTTGCTCTCGCTCCGAGGTGTCTAATAGACGAGGTCCAATCTCAACTTTGGATGTCCACAAGGATCCACAAGCCTTCTTCAAGATCCCCCTTTTTGGTTCAAGTGATGATGCTTGACAATACGGCAACTTGTCATCGAGAACACACGCATCCGGCGAATGATTTTGAGGTCTCGCGCTGTTTGAGACAAAGAGCGCGGGGAATATTCAAGTTAGTCTTGGTTACCCCAAACCATGCGCAGCGCCCTCTCGGCAATAAGGTGCCGGGTCATGTGCATGTTCAAACGGGATATTTCTCATAGCCTCGGATACTTCGTGCTCGTCGTTTGGCACAGTGAACAAGAAGACCTTGATGATCTTTACTTTCTCCTGCCTGTGAACCATCAAATTCTACCTCTGCAATTCCACAATTAATTTTACTTGCTTGCACATGACCGGGCCTGCTGATCCAGACCCTGGTGGAGTTCTTCGAAATTTTGGTTGTGCAAAACAATATGCAAAGCACTGTAAAGTTATTATTGCAATTCTAGGACAAATTACGGTTGCGGTGGTGAAGCCTGGTGAAGCTTGGTGAAGACTAGAACAAGGGCAAACAAGGGCGAACCTGAGCGAACGTTGTCGTACGTGCCTGTATTTATGATTATCACCCACCTTCGCTGACCTCAAAGGAGCTGTGAGGAGCTGTGTGACCCAATTTGCAAAAACACCCCCTCGGAAGCTATCAGTAATTGTCAACCTTGTTCTTAGCGCACAAACAGGTTTCCATCCGGCGCTACGGTAGGATCTAATCATTCTCTGGAAAAGACATAGTATCGATTTGGTATCGATATCCGTATGTGTGCTGTTGAATGCTGTAGAACTTATAATTACTCCACATTTTCTTTTGTATTTATCCCACTCCCCTCCTCGCCTCTTGCACCTTCGCTCTTGGGTGGTTCCCTCGATATTGATTTGCATAATCCCCATGCCTGTAACTCAAAGTCAGAAGCTACCGTCGTTACCGTCATTGAATGGCCCATCGTCGTCCTTGAAAAGTCCGACCCGCCGGTTATCTGTGTCGCTGTCGCTGCGCTACAATCCAATATCAGTCAGCACCCGATGTGATGTCTCCATCGCAAGAATTCACAAGGACCGAGGCTCGCTCGCATCGCCCCGTGGCTCCTCCAAGACCACCTCAACCTGGTCGCTTTCGTCCATTCCTCAACAATCCCCTGTACATGGACGAGCCGCCACCACGCCGATCCAACGCCCTCTCAAGAGACGAGTCCCGGTGAAGCTGTCGCAATTCCCATCAGGATTGCCGACGTTGCCCTCAACCAGCTTGCCCCCGCTCCTTGGCCGACCATCAAGCAAATGTAATCAGGTCGCTACCCAACTCCCATCCACACATCAATCTCCAGTGAATGATTCACTCTTCGCGCCCTTGCGCTTGCAACTGCCGCCAGGAGGAACGAGCCGAGGTCATCTTTTCGAGGTTCGTGCTTTTTTTTTTTTTTTCCCGACTGCAGAAGCGATGAAAACGCTACCTATGTAGGTAGGCGACAGGGTGGTTGTTCAGAAATATTATGAAGAATATGCTATGCGGAGCGAGAGAATGCAAGGCAGAGTGCGTCGACCTATACTCCATCGTGGCCCAGTATGTATACACCACTGTCGATAACACGGAGGTATTAACGCAAGCACAGCCAGGCCACGATCGATTTTGCTGGAATTTTTTAGTTGACGCGGATAATGTCCAGTGCTACGGCAAAGTTGGGGACGAAATGTGGGACACGAAGGGGCGGGTCTTACCCATCAGCGCTCGCACTCTACATCCAGGCGTGCGTTTTCAAAGAAACCGAAATCGATCCATTGCCTAACGCTTCGGTCGCTTCCAACAGGACCGTGTATATGCTCGGCTTTCTCAGAGATTTGTCAAAGAACCGGAAATCATGCTGACGTCGGTCTGGGTACCCGCTACTGCAGTCGTAAGTTGCTTGGCCTTGGTGTATCATCGGTGACTCACCCAAGTTTAGGAAACGGACAGCAAGGGCATGTTGCCTTTGGTAGTGAGACCAATCAATGGACAAGACCGCGGAATGGATTTCCGGGTTAGCTGTTACGACGTCTTGCCCTTCAACACATCTTCAAGAATGCTATGCCAACAGAGTGGCTGTTATGTGATCGGGATAGGTGGAGAGCTGTACCCCCCTAACCCACTGGGCAATAAGTCCAATACTCCACCCAGACCGCCACCGCGGTTACTCAGGCCGCATTCGAATCGTCGAATACCACCACCGTAGAACGATATTTTCGTCAGTATTTAAGCCTTCGGCCTACACTTAGTGTTTAATAATCACGCTCATAATTTACGCCTTCCAAGAAGTCAGACTGAGTAGCCAGATAGATCGCTTTCTTCGACCTTTCGAGCTATTTCAGGTACGTGTGCGCCTTGCCATCCATATGTCATAAGCAAGCATGATTGAGAATGGTTTGGCGTGGAGCTAGGCTCCGCTCTCATCAAGTGGCTTTATCACCTTCCGAAGGGCTGGTGACCACGATGAACTGGAGGAGAATACAAGCGTCTCGAACATTCCGATGCCAGTAAAATGTGGCAAAGACATTCACAAGAGCCAGAAACGCAAGAGGAACCTTATGACCCATCTTCATCTCGGACGAAAAGAAGAGTTCCTAGACCTAGACAGGAAAACCAGATAATATGGACGGGCATCGTTCCTTAACGAAGTCGTTAAGGAAAAGGACGTGGAACGTTCCATTCTGGTGCTTTCAGCTGCAACCTTGATTATACGCACCCTTCGGAAATACTGGGAGTTGAGGCCGAGGTTGTAAGTTGAGCTGGCCCAAGTAATAGAGCACCTGGAATGTCGGACGAACAAGAAAAACACTAGACTCGAGCCAAGTCCCTTTTTGTAAATTGAAGACAGTCGTTCAATCTATTATGTACCGTGGTCCGAGTCTAGAAAAACACCATCGCGCGAGCAAGACATCATTTGTGGGAAAAAATTGGTGATGAGCAGACGATTCAGCCAAACACATTTTCCCAACATTTTCCAACAGCGACGAACGATGACCTCAATTCAACCTTTCCAAACTTCCCTCTCAATTTTTTGCCCTAAATAGCCTTGAGCTCGACCGGTCAATGTCCTCGCATAGCAGGGGCGAATTCACATAGATCTCAGCTCGTTCCGTGCATATGCTTTTGGCTTTTTCTGATGTGCACTTTTGTTCGCCGAGCACTCGCTTTCAAAGCTCCCTCGAGCTCTTGCGGAATGGAATGAATTGCCAGCTGGGTGGGATCCAAACCACTTTCTCTGTGGAGCCTCACGAGTTGATGAACGAACGTACAACCTACAAACCTTGTGCAAACCATATCCATTGTCGCCACACCCCTCAAAGAACTTCGCTCAAAAAGTGGATGATCCACCGCGGATTTGTCGACCTGTCATGTACAGTTTTTTTTTCTCAAGTCGCCTCACCGGTCCAGCCTAACTTACTTTTGCTCTTTAGTGCTCCGAAGGCGTTCGCGATAGACCACAACATCAAAATTGGGCGCTTCTTCTATATCACAACGTGGCACCAGAAAAGACTCAAAGATGCGGCAGCTCGGACATAACGTGCTTTTCAACATCTTCACTTCTAGACGCTCTCCCCAGGTCGAACACACAAAATGGATTTGGAGGAGTTCGATGGCCTAGATAAAATAGCGCGCAACCCTACTTGGTCAAAAACCACCAACCTGGATCCTGGCAGTATTCTTAAGGAGGCTGACGAAAAATGGTACATAAAAGCATCCCGTGCGGCTCGATGGATGGATTTGCTGGGAGATTATGCTGGTAGTGAACCGTTCATCATCGATGGTACGATTCACCATTTACATAGCTTGCCTCCACTCTCTTACGCGTCTTTCAGGTGAATCCCTCTTGCAGATCGTCCTCGATGATCCTCTGCTTGCGATTGGTCGCGAAGATGGTGAGTTAGATTATCACTTGCCTCTGAGGCTGTTCATGATATTGGGATTTAGAATGCAGCTTTCAAATACTCCACGCCTACCACAGTCTTGAACGCCTTTTGGCTGAGTTTGTCCAACGGTCTGCAAATTTCGACATCGTTTTCTGGAGCGGTCAGTGTGATCCCTATGTGAGAGCTGTGCTCACAGCTGATATACAAGCATGACAGTCAATCGACATCTAACTTTGAAAACGGGCGATTCGCAGTTCATAGTTTCATCTAGATCCTTGGCGCGGGTGTTGCTGTTCAACCATCTCTTGAAGCTGGACATTCCAGTGCACTCTTTTAACGATCTAGATGAT